TATATATGTATATATATGTATATATATATATATATATATATATATATATATATATATATATATATATGTATATATATATATATATGTATATATATGTATATATATATATATATATATATATATATATATATATATATATATATATATATATATATATATACATACAGATAAAGAGAGAAACTATATATAGAGAAAGACTTGTAAACAATAAACAAAAAAATAAACTAACAATCTCTAGGAAATATTGCATGGTATATGTGATATATATGTATAAGTGTTTATATATATTCATGTGTATATGTACGTATATGTATATGTGTATATATGTATATTTATTTATATCTTGTATATTTTAATTTATATATATATATATATATATATAATATATTTATATATGTATTTATAAATATGTATAAATATGTTATACGTATATATGTTTTTGAATGTATAAATATGTTATATGTATATATGTTTTTGAATGTATATATATACAGATATATATGTTTATGTATATATGTATATATATTAATAAATAAATAGATTCATAAAATAATAATAACACTGCCTGCCTGAGAGCAGAATTTCTACTAGTCCATGTATGACCTGGAATGACCAGTACTAAATGAATTGTACCACTCAAATTTATAAAAGGAAAGTGGAACTAGGATCTGACTAGTTTTGGAGACATTACCTATGTACTCATAGTGGGGTAATGATAGTTAAGTTTTATACAGTCCTTGAGAGCACTTGGGGGAAAGCAATTTAGAAATTTAGATACTAATAAAGTTGTACTGGTGTATTTATGAATGATCGAGTAATTCACTGGCATTGATATAGAATCTCTGCCATTCCAAGTATGACCCTGGAGTGTCAGACCCTGAACGACCAGTACAAAAAGAACCGTACCACATGACCCACTGTTTCCAGTTTTCATATGTATAAATATATTTATATATATACAAATAAAATATACACATATATGTATATAAATATATATATATATATATATATATATATATATATATATATATATACATATATATGTAAATATAGATATACATGTATATATATATGTGTATGTGTATTATATATATGTACATATATGTATTATATATGTATTTTATATGTGTTATGTATATTATATGTATTTATGTATATGTATATGTATATGTATATATATATATATATATATATATATATATATATATATATATATATACATATATATGTATATATATGTATATGTATGTATATATGTATATTGTATATAAAATATATATGTATATATACGCATAATATATATTTATATTTATACGCACATATGCACGAACATATGTATATACATGTACATAGACATATGAATATCCATATGTATAATATAAATGAATTTTGACATTGATCAGTGCAGCTAATAATTCACTGATACTGTGCTTTTGTTTTGTCAGGGATATTCTAATCAAACCAATCAAAGTGGAGGCTGAAGGATTCCCAAGAGAAAAGACATGGACCAAATACATTTGTTCCAAAGGTTAGTCACAAATATAATGAAAGTAAGTATTATTTGTGATAAAATGTAATTTTTAGGTTCATGTTGTATACTCCATCTTATGAGTGCATGTAAGTATAAGTAGATGTATATAGTTTTCAGAAGCAAACTGTAGATGACTCAAGGAGCAATAGTAATGAACAATCTAGGGAAAACTTAAAACAAAGTGGTAATGAAATGTGATGGATATATCAGAAATTGCAGCTATCACCTTGTCAGCTGTGAGTCTTAACCCATTGCCACTGGGGATGGCATGTACATACATGCCATGCCCACTGTGAGTCAACTTGTTCGATTGTTTTTACACATAGATGGCTTCACTTGTACTAAGTCACCAATGAGCCAATTACGAGTACTGCCTGTCTCGCCCGTTCACCCTTTTCATCAATTTACGAAAATATTTAACGTTATCCTAATTTGCTGTTAGAAATAACACCATCTATATTTATAGCACAAGTAAGAGTACGTTTTTTCCTGCGAATTTAAGGAAAGGTGAAATCAGGACTAGCAGAGCCATCTATGGACAGACATATTTCACAAAAATATAAAAAATGAGTACTGCATTCGCCCCATTTTTAAAAAAAATTTCCCAGCGGCAATGGGTTAAGAAATGGGATGGTGATATAACTAGCTAAGCTGTGTTTTTTAATGCATTGAACCCCGAGATTCAGATCACAGCCACGAATCAATGAAGGTTTCATTTCTTGATGATTTATGAATAATAGATTGTAAATATAAAAAGCCGGGTTTTGCTAGAAAAAAACATAATTTTCATTTAGCTAGTGGTTATTTGGCTAATACTTTTATTAGTTTAGTAAGAGGATGAATACTATTACTAATAGTTCATAACTTATTTTACAGATATTAATGAGAATGCAGACTTTTTAGAGATTTGGAAGGTAGAACCACCACCACTCATTGTAGAAGACTCAGCCAGGGGCTGGGTGACTGCAGTTGGTGACCTTCTGGGACCTACACTTGAGGTTAGTCATGTCTTCAGATCTGACATGATTTTACCTGATTTATTGGTGGAAACCACTGGAACTAGAACCTTTAGGTGTAAATATATATATATATATATATATATATATATATATATATATATATATATATTATATATATTATATATATATATATATATATATATATATTTATATATATATATATACATATATATTTATATATATAATAATAAATATAGAGATATAGATAGATAGATTGATATAGGTGTGTATATATATATATATAGATAGATAGATAGATATAAATATATATAGATATAAATACATAGTTACATAAATCAATAATTTTATAGATGCATATATATATGTATATATATAAATATATATATATATATATATAGACATATATATATATATATATATATATATATATATATATATATATATATATATATATATATATTTATATATATATTGATGTATTGATATATTGATATATATATGTATAAATGATATATAAATATATAGATATATATGTATTTATATATAAGTATTTATATGGTGTGTGTGTTTGTGCGTGTACATGTACGTGTTCGTGTATGTGTGTGTGTGTGTGTGTGTGTGTGTGTGTGTGTGTGTGTGTGTGTGTGTGTGTGTGTGTGTGTGTGTGTGTGTGTGTGTGTGTGTGTGTGTGTGTGTTCATGTGCATGTGTGTGTATTATTTTACATCTTATATATATATATATATATATATTACATTAGATATATATATTACATTAAATACATATATTGAAATATATATATATTGATATTGATATATATTTATATATATATTGATATTGATATATATTTATATATATATTGATATGTATATATTGAGAAGGGGAAATCAAATAAGGCCACAAGGGCTACTAATTGACTTCTTTGTGGCTCAGCACGAGTAGAGCCAAATATTTGCTGGGACATTTCACAAAAATGATTACAGCATTTTCCTGGCTGTATCTCTATATGTATATATATGTATATAAATATGTATAAGATATATTTATGTTCATATGTATATTTATGTGTATGTATATATTTATGTTTATATGTATAGATGTATATGTATCTATATATACGTATATAAGTGTTTGTATGTATGTATATACACATCTATTTATTATATATATATATATATATATATATATATATATATATATATATATATATATATATATATATATATATATATATATATATATATATATATATATATATGTATTTGTTTTGTGATAAGAAAATAATGTTAATGCATGATTTTTTTCCAGAATCTTGGTTCCCTTGTAAAAATGCCATATGGGTGTGGGGAACAGAATATGTTGAATTTTGCACCAAATATTTTCATCCTTCAATATCTGGATGCTTCAAATCAAACAACACCAGCAATTGCAAAGAAAGCTATTGACTACATGCAAAAAGGTAAAATTTAGCATCTGCATGAAAATATGTTCACCTATATATGTGTGTGTGTGTACAACTGTTTAATGATTGGCCTATTTTGACTGTAATAATGTACATTGTAGTTAGAAAAGGCATTCATATCAGGGAAATAATTTTGATATTTTCTTTCATTTTCTGGAGTTTGTCTATATATGTTTAGGATTGATAGTATATCTGTGGTATGATTGTCCTTAATGTAAATATCTATATTTCTTGCTTATTTGATTTTTACAGGAGTGAATGTTGTAAATTTTACTTCTTGTTTTGTATGTGTAAGAATGGCATTATCTATTATGGCTAAACAAATTATGTTCATGTTACATTCCTTCTTTCTTTGTTACTGTTACAGGTTATCAACGGGAGCTGCGCTATCGCCACGATGATGGATCCTTCAGTGCCTTTGGAAACTCTGATGCATCAGGCTCAACATGGCTCACTGCCTTTGTCCTCAAGTCCTTTGCACAAGCACGCCAATATGTTCAGGTTTGTGGCTTTATTTTTTCTGTTTAGTTTGGGTTGTATAAGGACATCATCATCATCATCACAAGGGGCTAATGCCGATGGGGACTCATGGCCGCATCCACCTTTTGGTTCCAGCCACGAGGGTCCCTCATGGTGAGTCTTCAGGCAGGCCCTTAGCCCATCTCTAACTCCCTACAACAGGTCTGGTTGAGCTGCCTAAGCCATGACCTCCTAGGTCATCCCACAAGCCTCCACTCAGGATTGTCTCACAGAAAGACAAACTGATGGGCAGGAAAATGAGCCAGGTACCCAGATAGCCTGAGTTGGCAATCCTGGATTATGCAAGTAACAGGTTCCATGCCAGTCTTGCAATGTAGCTGTCGGTTGGACACATGGTCCTGCCAACTGTACTCCATGATCCTATGAAGAAACTTGTTACAAAAGGTATCAAGATGAGACTCCAAGGCACCAGATAGCATCCAGGTTTTGCTTCCATAGAGGAAAACAGGTAGTATCAAGGCCTTGAAGGCTCATAGCTTGGTCCTTCT